CCTGGTCAACAGCCGGGAAATAGACACACACAAATCACTTTCAACTGAACACTGAGGCACACCAGGTTTTTTGGAATACAAGGAGACCCGGTGAATTTAAAGTCACAGCAAAACGTTACTGGTTACAATGTACATTTGCTCTTTCTCACATGCACACACACACTCATCCACACTTACCCATAACCTTGCCAACTAGGCTGCCAGGCACTGGCTAGAGGGATGGAAGCTGCCAGGTCTGGAGCCAAAGACGACTCAGAGTGGGCGTGGGCTTATTCCCCAAAGTCCTTGCTTTATTGATTCATAAGATTGGCAGCTACTCTTGCCTGGTTAATTTACAAGTCTGGTAGCTGTTAATGGGATAGGGGAGGGTTTCCATGTGCTCAGGCCCAACTTCCTTTGTCTGGTTCAGGTGACATTTTTTGCTTTGTTTCTTAATGACTTGTTCCCTTCTTATCTACCTCCCCAAAAGGATCTTTTAGACAAGATTCCTGTCTTTCCGTCCTCTCTGCTTACGTGCCTGCTTCATCTTTAGTTACGGCAGCTTCGGCCTAGTCTCACAGTGGGAACATCACTGGTATCACAAAACCTTTTTAGGGAACATTTTTATGTACACACATAACTCAAACAGGTTCCCAAGAACCATATATTGAAATCTAAGACTTTAGCATACTCAAGTGGAGATATTCTGAAAATTTATCAAAAATAGTTTTTTCCTTGCACTGTCTGATCTGACTGCCTCTGAAATATAACAACTGCCTTCCCTTCTGCTTTACAAGCAGATGCATTTCTGATAAAGCTAGACTTTCCATATTGTCAATTCAGTGTTAAATACAGTAATAACTAAATCACCCCTTCTAATCAAGTAGAAAAGCATATCCGTACACCAGTCTTTCCCAATCCAGCACTGACCAGATATACTGAACGATTGTACAAGCCCCACTTCCCCAGCCAGCATAGCTACTGACCTTTCTGTAAGGATTATGATAGTTGTAGTCCAGCATATCTGAGGGCACCAGGTTGGGAAGTCTGCCCTAAACCAGATCTAATCGAAAAGCACGGTAAAGAGTCAGTATAGTATAGTAGTTAGGGGAACCAGTTTGGTGTAGTGGTTAAGGTGCTGGCCTAGAAACCAGGAGACTGAGCCAGCTGGGTGACTTTGGGCCAGTCACGCTTTCTCAGCCTATCCCACCTCACAAGGTTGTTGTTGTGGGGAAATAGGAGGCAGGAGTATTAGGTATGTTCACCGCCTTGAGTTATGCATATAAAAATGGGATAAAATAATAATAATAATAATAATAATAATAATAATAATAATAATAATAAAAAAAATTAGGACATTCAGACATGGAGACCCACTGGGTGACTTTGGGGCAATGATTATGTCAACCCAACTTAACTCAGTGAATTGTCGTTGTGGGGATAAAAGAGGAAAAGAGAATAATATGTATGCCATCCTAAGACTGGGGGAAAGGCAGAAAACTAATAAATAAGTAAATAAATACTAAAACAGCATAGCTGTAGCCTCTCACATGCAGCAAATGTAGCCAAATCCCACAGCAAACCAACATAGTTTCCATTCACCCATCACTCATCTGGCAAGGCTAACTGGGAGCAGATAACCCAGATACCAGATCCTGAACTCCAAAACTAAGTAGTTCCTTTATAGCGATGACCAAACAAAACTGGGAGAAGTGATGCTGCTTCAATCCTTCTGCCTATTTAGGGCAGCAATAGAAAAGTTGGTTTGACTCATCTCAGCAGCAGCTCCCTCCCACAAATCCAGCAAGAAAGGAAGTTAATTTAAACAGAATTAGACAAGAAGAACTGGGACTCCTATCACAAGAAATTAAAAGATTTGAATGCTATATGATTTCATGGAATTGGAGACTCAGAATAAAGGAGCCAAATTAATTTGGTTAGTTATGATGGGTCACAAGGAGAACCATCAGGCTACAGACACAGTCAGCCCTATACAAACATGGAGAATGTGCTGCAGCTGACCGGAAATTTGCCACCCCATTCCCCATGTGACCAGTTATTCCTCTTATTTCAAAGCATTATGATACAGCATGTAAAACCAAATACAGACCGAAATACCCAGTTTCCTAAAGGTACAGAGGAAAACCATAATGCAAACAGTAACCACCACCAAAGCCTCAAAGATGTTCTGAACTAAAAAGGCTATACGAACCTCAACCTGAGAACTGGAGAGCAAGAGAATTTAAAAACCTCTTTCAGTTGGGAATACATAAGCACACACACATGCAAATCTTTTCTTCATATTATGTTTACCCAAATCGATTTTAAACTTTGAGTGACACCAACTCCAGTGATGTCCTGGTGAATTATTCTCCTGCCCAAGGACTCTCATAGCAGTAAAAATAACAAAAATTATGTTGATTGTCTTCTTCAATGCTCTGATGGAATGTATGTATCATTGCTAATGTACATGACACTTTACAGAGCTGTAAGATGAGAAGCTCCCTGCCTCCAAACAAGCTTACAACCTAAAATAGCTACAAAAGGATCGATCTATCATTTTCATAGATTTTTTAACCCCTTCTCTAAAAAGCTGGGTTTCAAAAGGAAAAAAAATAGGATTATAGTTTTATTGCCATTAAACTATAGGAATAGGAAATACCAAGAATAAGCTGTGGTGCTTTTGAAAGCTGGATGGGTAAACAATAGCAGAAGTTATCTGTAAAGCAAAAGGCAAATGGTAACCTGTTTCACTTAAAAGCTAAAAAGGGGAACAGTGAGCCATTCGTAAAAGTTCTTCTACAAATCAGATATGTCTGGTTCTTTCAGCTTTCTTTTCCAATTGTACTCTTTATCCTCCAAAGCATCTGGCAGGGATTAGTTTCAATATACAGAATGAACCCAGATATCAGTTTTGAAGATCTGATCTGCTTTATTCAAAAGTTCAGAAAAAATAGGAAAGCATGTTAAGTAGTCGTTCTCAGGGCTGGCAGCTATCCTCCTCCAAAGGGATTTTTTTGCCTTAAGACAGCTATTGCATTTGTAAGAGTGCAAAATAGTTCAGAGGAATGTACCTGGATTGTATTCCTACTGGCTGACTAACATTCAAATTAACCACCTTCATGTGTGACTTGTAAGATAGAGCCAAAAGCTAGTAGCAGTATTAGCTGAATAAGACTGCATATAGTGCACTGCTGTATAGCACTATTAGAAAGCTTCCACTTCAGATCCACCTGAAACACTTAAGTATAAGAAATTAATTTAACATGTCAACCAAAAACATGCATCAGCACCAAAATATCTTTTCCCCAAGTCAATTGCTTTATTACATTATGTGAATATGCATATGAATATGTGAATAATACATTATCGAATAAAGATGACAGCTGGCTACAGCGGTGTTTATGCAATAGAAACTAGAAATTGTTAACACTATGATTAGATAAACTGAACCTTTAAAGATGAGGAAAAAAGTGTCTATCAATGTTAAATATAATTTCTAAAATGTTAATCAACTTAAGGTTCCTGCAGCACCAAAATATCAAAGCCCAAAAAAGTATGGTAACTAAGATGCTCAGAATCGGTAGCAAACCACAGACACCCCACTAATTAAACAACATAACAGGTCTACCCATTCAAGACAGAAAATTCAAACTTAAGCTTTTAATTGGACAAAACTAAGCCAGTCTCTGGAAACTGTTCAAAAGACATTTCACTCTGATAACTAGAAATATTACATCACCAACCATGTTTAATGTTATTTATTTAATGTTATTTTGACTATAAATTCGCTGATATCTCAGCATAGTTCACAGAATTTCTGAGCCAAATAGACAAACTATGTCATTATGCAACAATGTTATTTCACGAAACATCACTGTTCATTTATGTTCCTAAATATGGTCTTATTGATCCAATTTAACAATAAGATCTTCTATAATGACAAAGATATATTGGTCGTTATCAATGTTTTTTTACATATCACGATAAGCAGTTCCAGTAGCTCATTCCGAAGATCCAGTTTAGAAGGAAAAAGAGTGAGCAAACGCCAGTACAGAATTGAGGGGGGCGAGGGACTAACAAAGGTATCAGCTGCAAACATCCCGCAACCCCTGCATCCTCTCCCCCGCCCTTCAGTTTTTTTAAAAATTCAACCAACCACGTCCCGTTCTTTATTCCCTTGTCCCCATATCTGAATACTTTTCCCGAGTCCCGATCTCTCACCCCCTGTGGATCCTTGACGAAATAGCTGCCGCTAGAACCTTGGTAGATGCGCTCAGGGTAGATTCCGCGTTCGCTCGCCAGCTCTGCCAGCCGCACTACCTCGGCGAATTCTGGGTCATCGGGAAACTCATTCCGGTGTTCCCGTTCCCCGCGGCCCGCGGCGATCCCTACTCCGACCCCCACTTGAGCCTGAGTCTGGGTCGCCCCGGCTATTGCTACAGTCCCTCGCGCTCCACGCTCCGCACCACCACCCCGATCCAACAGCGGCTGGCGCTCCCGGTCGCGGCCACCTGCGGGGGATCCCGGTGGGGAGGGGCAGGGGCAGGGACACGGTCCGGCGGGAGTACTAGGGGCAGCGGGGCAGGGCGAGGAGCGTACAGCACCCCCAGGCAGCCCATACCCCGGGGCCGGACCGCGCTCTGGAGATACCAGCGGGCTCGTTTCATCCATAGGCCGAGCTGGTCCGAGGCGCTGATCTAACCCCGGGTGGGCGCTTGCACGCATAAACCACGGCCCCGCGGTCTCAGACTCAACGCCGCTCAGTTCGGATCACCTGACACCGGCCCGCGGCCACTGCCGTTTCCGCCAGAGTAGCATCAGCGAATCACAGTGCGGTCACTCCCCCTGTTTAGAGGATGCCCGGAAGCCACGCCCATTAGAGAGCCCATCGTCCATTTGCAACGCTTGTCCTGCCCAGTGCCTTCTACAGACACGCCCCTTCGTTATGTAGAGTTCCGCCTCTCCCTGCCTCGCTATGTCATGCCTTCTGAATGGAGAATGTAGACCCGTTCCTTGCTTTTCAATCCGTGCTTTTTTTCCCTAGGCCCCTATTGCCACAATCGTCACCGCCTCCGTTTCTTGAACGGATTCCGCCCGCATTCTGTATTACATTCTACTGTATATCGCCTCATTATGCTGCTGAAGACATTTCAAGGCGTCTGTCGTTCCGATGCAAAGTCACGCCTACATATCCTGCGCTGATTGATTGCAAATGACCATTTCTCAATATGCTACAAAAATTCTTTTCGGTATATCGATGTACAGTAATACATCACGTACGTATCACACTGCTTTGGCATGCCATACGATCTTACTGAAAATCCTTTCAAAAGAGAAAACGTTGCATGTCCTACTGTCTGCGCCGAAGAAAGGCTGTCATTACAATTGTCCTGGACGGACTGTATGGATCCTAAGGGACTTAAAACTTGTAGCGGGAAAATAAAAAGGAAAACAGCAACTTATCCCGTGGCCCTTAAACATTAGCATACTATAGCAGTCAGAACTTCAGCAGGCAAGCAAAAATTCGGTTCAAACCAAACTCAGATTCATCACTTAGACACTGCAAAAGTTCTCTAAGTTAAAATAAGTCAGAACACTTTTTTGTTTTGGTTGTCTGTTTGCTTTCAGTTAGTTTGAATGTTTCTGGCAATTAAAAGGGCCATATCCAATATACTACTGCTTACATTTCCAAGTTCCTGAAAATCTGTGGCCTTATTTTTTTATTTGCCTTGTTAGAAATGTCTAAAATCCCTAACATATGTATGGATTTTGAAACTGCCCAGAGTGAGTCGGGCGGCATACAAGTTTAATAATAATAATAATAATATTAATAATAATAATAATAATAATCTGTTATTATTATTATTGGAATTGCTTCAAATGTAACTGGAGTTGAAATGAAATACTCATTTCCTTGTTGTAGATTACTGTTACTTTCGGGGGCGGGATTTAAGATTTTAACAGATAGTTTAAAGACAACTTCAGCGACCTAAGTGTCGTTCAACAAGATTCAGCCAGTCGAAATTATCCAGTAACCAAAATGTAATGTTCATTGCATTCCTTATTGAACAAAAAACGCCAGGCTTAAAAACAGTTTTCTTGTTTCATAAATGCCTGTCTGTTCCTCTTCTTCAAGGGTACCGCCTGACCGTTTGCTTCAGCATCCCCTGCCCTGAATTCTGCCTCTTGAGAGCCGCAGCAGGGATCTCCCGGCAGACGAAGGAAGCGCAGGAGAGCCTCGGCATGGCAGCCCCTCGCTTCTGGTGAGAGGAAAGCCTTGTCTTTCTGCCCCTCAGAAATATGGCCGTTCCGTGAAAATCTCCTTGCCCTTCACAAAGAAGGCTTCAGACGGAAGGGAGGGGAGAAAGAGCCGGGAGGCTGGGCAATAGAGGAACGCGTTACTACCGGTTGTCTAGGGAACCACCAACAGCGTGAGGGGACAGTTCCTAGTGGGCGCTTGCCCAGAGAGGTGGATGAGGGGGAAGCTTGGCGTAGCGTAGGGAAGGAGGCGGCGGCCCATGGGGGGAGAGCAAAGGGGTGTGCGGCTGGTGGCAGCTGCTACAAAGCTCGCATCCAGGTGAGGGGCGCGGTCACTGTTGGTGCAATGAATGAATGAAAGCATAGGGATGACGTGGCCGGGAATGCTGCGTGGAACCCGGGCGGGTAGGAAGGCTTTGGGGGCAGGAAAGTGCAATGCGAAGAAAGGCTTGAGTGGAAAGAAGCAGCAGCAGCAGCAGCAGCAGCAGCAGCAGCAGCGACCGGTACAGCGGGGTGCAGAGCCGTCGTAGTCTACTAGATGGGCGTGGTTTCGGGCTGCAGGGCATGACTTGAGGATGTTGGGCTCGCTTGTGAAGCTGTCAAAAGAGACTTTGCAGTGAGCAGTTTTGATTCCAGTACTGAGGGATGCTGCCTGGGGGTAAGTGATGACTTGGGAGTGTTAGCGTTGTCGGAAAGGTCGTGGCTTGCGAGAAACGAAAACACAGAGGGAGCAGATCCTTTTTATCCCTGCCTTTCTGTTCATTGAATCAGATTCTGCTGATTACAGAGAGCATATAGAGATGTCCTCAGAAACTGGGAAACTGCTATGCGCATGGTTTGCTGCTGAGCAGCTGCGGTTGCTCTGCTCTGTAAAACAGCTGTAATTGTTTCCAGGGAAGCAGCAGTCATTGTATTGTATGGTCCCTGAAAGGACAGGCAGGTCTCTAATTCTTTCTGTGTAGCCCTCTAGCCAGCTGTGATCCAAAATCACAAGATTTTCCCTTCAAGGGAGACTAAACTTGTATTTTCATAGCAGTGACTTCTAAAAATGTGATTCTACTTGGCACTTGTGAAAAGATTGGCACAATGCGTTTTGTACTTTTATACCAGCCTTGCCCAACCTGGCATCTCCCAGATATGTTGAATGATCAGTCTTACTATTTTCAGCCAGCATAGATAATACTGACTGGGGATTATGGAAGTTGTCATCCAACACATCTGGAGGAAGTCAAGTTGAGGAACATTCCTTTATACTTTCTCCTATTAGATGTATTGAGTTATATATAATATTGTGTGGCTGAGACTAGTTTTGAGAGCTTGGTTCACATCACAATCATTATGCTACTAGTTTTCCCTTATATTAATATAATATAGTAGGTGAGCATTCCTGTTTTTATAATCTTGTATTCATGTGGCTTTACTTACTATGGACCAAAAAAAAAAAAAAGACAGGCTATTTTTTTCCCCCTAAACTGAGCCCTACAAACCAAAAGGAAATTTAAAAATTAATCAGAGATGTTATCGGAAAAATAGAACATGACACCTTTTGTTGTTGTTCCATACTACATGTGATTATTTCTCAGGAATCCCTTTGGTTTTTACACTTGGAATTACTATCTTTGTATATTATATACCAGTATGGGAAATGATATTCATGCTTAACAGCTTATCGAGTGGTATATGAAAATGACTCTAACACAGGATACAAATTAAGGGTATAGTGCTAATATGCTGAATCTAGATAATCCATGTAATAGGAGAGGTCGGAGGAATATGGCCACCACTGAGAAATGAGCATTTTTCCCATATACTATTACTGCTTCCCAATCATTTTTCCTTGAAGGATTACAGCCAGGACATATAGAGCAAAACAACAAAAATGAAGGCAAAATATTAGTGCATTTCCCTGTACTAGACAGATGAGTGTCTGAAAGATATCATTATCTTTGTAGTAGATATATCTCCAAATGTTGCTCCTGAAGAACTAACAGTAGGCATGCAGGATGAAAGAAGGTATAAGTAGTAATAGCTTTTTTTTTAGATATGCACTTAATTCTACTGACTATTGCAGCTTCAAGAGACGTTACTAATTACTATCCAGCAGTCTTTGTTTTTTCTTTTCTCTCCACAAGCAATCACACAGCCATTCATTACTTACAGAGGAAAGGATGGTTCTCACCATGCCAACCATAAGTAATTCTTACAGCAGCAACAATAATCAGTGAGGAATGAGTTTCCTTATGTAGTATTGCCCCCTTTTTCTTTCCTAGGCTTCTGTGACTATCAAAAGCATTTAATACATAGGAATGTAACAGATGCAACAATACCCAACACAGGATATTGAAGCCATGATGGACAAAGCAACTCAGAGATACAGAAGCCTTGCAAGGTCAAAGAAGCTGACAGAATCTCAGAGACATGAGACTGCCAGAGTTTACTCCATAGCTGATACTATTCAATAAACCATGTGGGTATTCCAACTGTCTGAAAGAAGGGTGGTAGCTCTTCTCCTACTACAATACTTCACCTCTACTAACAAATTTGTTTTAAAAATTCAGTGCTGCCCTTTCAAAGTAAGTTTTTGCAGAGCTGATTAGAATACATTAAAATTTAAATGTTAAATAATAAAAATACACAAAAATAAACAGCTTTCAGCCAGAGTAGTTACAAAGTTTTCATTTAATGTGAAAATATTAGTATATTCAAAGAATAAAAATGGCTATGCCTGATGCCAAGAAGAGGGTTCCAGTCTTCTGGATCCAGTCCAGCAGGGTATCACACAGAACCCACAGGAGTTCATAACAGTGGCTTGTTTGTCTGACACTTTAGGGACAAAATCTATCGTATTAGTCATCACTTATATTCTGCAAGTTTGGTAGTTCAATCTGTAGAGATATGCAGGGCATCATCTGGTATTTGGAAGTCTTTTAGTTTTTAAGGCAGTCTTGATTATGTGATACAATAACCAGAAACTCAATCTCTGTGTACAGCAACTTTTCGTAGTATGGGTTTTATTTACAAGCCTCTTTTCTTGTTTTTCAAATGTAAAATAGTAAGATATAGCTATAATACTGGTTTTTTTGGCCATGGCTTTACTTTGCAGTAAATAAGTATTCTCAGACATTGAGAAGTATCTAGAACAAGGGTGTTTGAAGGTTAGTGAGCATTCAACAAAAGCTTCCTGCCCATATGTTGCTAGTGTTCATACTGAACACAAGTGTTCCATACTGAAACATGGAGAACAGGAATGTAATCTAAATTAAGTGGCAACTGGTTCTGAGGATAATTCATCATATTAGTACTTCCAAATGAAAAATATGAAATAAATTAAAAATCAGGACATAGAATGCATATTTTATTTCAACACAGATTAAAAAACAAGAGAATCTACTTACAGTTATACTGATAGCAATTTCCAGACATTCCCAATGGAATGTCTTTAGGGCTACCTTCTAGATAACAACACCAATAAGAAGAGTCTTCTACAAAAACATACCTCTGTTGCCATATGACGAGATCCCTGCAATATGCCACGTCATTTTGTTATCACTTCCAGTTTCACCGGGAATCTTGGAATCTCTTGCAGTCATTGAGATCTTGCTACAGGTGGACTTTGAAATTACTCATGCTAAGTTTTATTGACAGTTTGTATGGACAAAGACAACCTGGACCCAGGTTAGATAACATCAACATCAGCAGCACCCAACAAAGTCCTAACACAATGTTTTATGTTATAACAATGTTTTGTTCAGCTTTGCATAGAATGACAAAAGATGAGATATAACTTAGAAAACACATTATCCACCAAAACTTAACAAGCAGTTTGAACAAACTGGATCAAATTAGCTAAATAACATCCTTGATGGAGAACATTATCAATCAACTAGTCTTCAAAAAACTACTAGCCATACTGCCTAAACGTATGCCTACATCCCATCCCAAAGGTGATTGTTGTTTCCTCTCTGTGGGATTCTGTTTGATCAATAGGAAGCACATTGAAAGGAAAAATAGGGATAGAAGGGCTTTGTTGCCACTGTTTAGCACAAACCCTAGCTGCTGCTGCTTTTTGTTGTTGTTTTTGACCTCTGTCTTTGTCTCTACCTTGTGATGCTGATTGCTTGACCCCCAGAGATTTTGATTAATGTATTTATGTGTCTTCCAGGACAGAACACAACATATATAGCCAGAAGGAAAGCTTTTTTTTAATGAAATCTATCATTTATAACCCTTTTTAACCTGAGTCAATCATGGCAATTTCTAGGTTTTCTGCTGAAGAGCTGGGAGCTCAGAATGCTTAGCAAGAGTCCAGCGTATAGGCCAGCCTTTCTCACCTAGACATTCTTCATTTGTATTGAACCATAATTCAGGTAATTTCCAGCCAGCTTGACTATTGGCTAGGAACTAATGAGAGTTACAGTCCAACACATCTAAAGGACATCATGTTGAAGAATACTGATATCCAGGTGCTCCTAATTACTTTGGCTGCTTGAGCCCAGCAAGAGCTGCATCCTTCAGGCTGAGCAACACAGCAACTGCAACCTGGGCACAGTTTCAGCCTCCAGTGTCTGAAAAGTTAGTACATGCAACACAACCACCGGAAATAAAGTTATAGCTTCTAGATGATGGTAATTCAATAGAATCCAATTTTGCAGTCTCAAAAATGCAAGGATAAGTCATCTTATGTGAGTGCAAACTTACACTGTTTGCACACTGCACATGTAGAAATAGAAATTCAGTGAAATCTTCAAATTGACCTTGTGGCGACTGACAAAATAATTTTGGGGTTGTTTTGGATAGTGCAGTTAAAATGACAATCCACTAGGCAGCTGCTGTGAAAAAGAAATCCATATTGGGGGTCATGAAAATAAAATTGCCAATACCATAATATGTTTATCTATGATGTGACTATTCTTAGATTATTGTGTGTAGTCCTGGAGGACTCTGCTGCTTAAAAAAGGATATTGTGGGTTCAGAAAATGCCAACTAAAATGATGAAGTGTAGGAACAATCTCTTATCAATAAAATTGATATACGTGATGTGTAACATATCGGGACATGTAGTAGTAGTAGAGGGACATAATGCATAATGTATTGTAAAGTACTGAAATTAAAGGGGAAATGTTTAATAATATTAAAACTTAAGTTACCGAATGATGTTGATGAGATCATTCTGAACAGAAAAAAAATTCTTGAAATGATAGAATTTGTTTCTATCCAATGCAGACCTGTCCACCAACTTGGATAGCTTTAACCAATATAAGTTAGTATGGAACCCAAATTACTTCCATCTGATTACCTCCTGTGAAAGGCTGGTCTGTGTCTTTGGGTTGATCCAGCTGCACTCTTCTTTTGATAGAGACCACCCAGGTTGTATCCATAGCTAGTCCAGATAAATTGAAGTCATGAATATTTCATGAAGGTGGAGCCCTTTTGCTCAAGCTTCATTTGAATCTAGTCCAGTGAAATAAAACTAATAAGCAGTAGCAACCTGAGATGTAAGGCTTGAATTTCTTATGGAAGGAATGGATATGCTTTCTTGTGAAATCAGGAAGTTGCTCTGTATACAACTGGCATGGGAAAATAGGACAAAATCTGCAAGTCAGTCTGAAGTATGAGAACTGAACTACTATATCTTATGCTAGTTGAGGGAGGATCCCATATGAATAAAGCATATCATAACCTATGTTTAAGAGGTTTATTCTTATATGTTTAGGATACAGGGGAGTGGTTGAATTGGAAGCAATTTAGTTCAATATTTAAAAAAAAAAATTTCTTTCAGACTGTTAGTTGCACTGAATTTCATATGAATAAAATTGCAGAATATTAAGGAAAACACGAGTTTCTATTTATTATGACTCAACTCTGAAATGCAATGGGTGGCTTTGTCCATTCATATTCTTTTAATTTAAACTATCATGGTATGCATACAGAAGAGGGGAAGTAGCCATATTTGCTCTCTTGAACATTAAGGAAAGGTGGGGTGAAAATTTAAATACAATTTTATCAGACTGGAGGGAAACTGTCCAATTTTGAGAGGCCACTATCTGCAATATGCTACTATTAGTAGTTTAAAAGTCATTCTCACAATCATTTATGATCATAAATCACTTCGTTGTTTTAGAGGGTCCTAAGTGACATCATTTTGAAAGCTACAACGTTTGTCTGGCTTTTTTGTTAATGTTCCAAAGAGAACTTTCATATGCCATTTTAAGGAACGTACATTGGAATAAAGGAGTTGGACTGTAGGGTGATATCTGGCTAGCTGAAATCTGGACAGCAGCACTGTCCAGTGCAATAGTTTGTTGTAGCCCCAAGTACATTAATTTATTTCGCTAACCCATTCTTATTTTGTCAGAAGAACATTTGAAGATGATGTGCCAGTCACCAAGATGATATACCAGTTAGATGTGTCCATATAATATTTGCTGTCAGATTAATCATTAAAATTCTTAGTCTTCAGTACCATAAAAACATTAATAGAATTAATGTACAGTAATTTCATAATTTAATGAAAAAAACACATAACCCTTTCTTGATTTGGGATTAAACCATTTCCTCTCAGTTTTATATTGTCCTTAGGCTAATTAGGCATTCCTGGCTATGAATGTGCTAACTATGTAATTTCAATCCTTTCTAAATTATATTTTGATGTTTGCTAATGTCATGCATGAAATTAATACCATGATTTTGTGATGTCTGTGTAGCACCAGAAATGGTGTCTGGCTTACCATCAAGCTCAGAGATGGTATGCAGGTCATATTGCTTATGATGCATGGAGCCAAATCTAATAAAATATGGTTGCTCTGATTTTAGTGGTACAGTTAGATAATTTATTCAGTGGACTTATAGGAGGCCATTTTAGATGGTAATTATTACTTTACTAACTTCGAAATGGGGCAAGCTAAGTCTGCTGTAGTGGGGAACAATGTGTCCCACCCCTTGTCTTGATAGTACCCACTGCCTACCTTCCCCATTTGTAGTGCCATAGTTTCGTAAATGTTCCTTCTCCCCCTTCATACCTGTCTTATATTGTTTTCATACTCCTGAACCCTCTGTTGCAGCTGCTCTCCTGCCTTCCTGAAAGCTGGTATCATGACCCTGACTAAGGGCTCATTCACTTACTCCAGTGGAGAGGAATATTGTGGGGAATGGAAGGAAGGTAAGTTAATATGGCCAGGTTGCAAGATCCCCTCCTTTTAACATGATAAGGACTAAAGGGATATGTACAAGAATATCACTTCACTTGATTGTGAGGACTGCCTCATTCATTAATCACATACCTGCTAGACCCTGTCCTCCAGACAGTAGTTTTCCTCAAATATCTATTTTTATGCTTTTATTTTAGGCAATCACAAATTCTTTGTATACTGCCAAATATAATGTTTCAAAGTTGCAGTACTATCAGTTTTACTTATGGGACCCTGCTTGGGAAAAATACATACTACTTTTATCACCATGGAAAATTAAGAAAGCCAGATAATTTTTTTCTATTGTCATGATGAAATTGAATAAATGGTTTTGAAATTGATTAGATCAGGATCTCTATTAAGATAAAGTTATGAGACTGAAGAACAAGTAAAGTCTCATGGGTCTAAAAGAAGGGAACACTCTCAATCTTTGTTTCAACAAAGTGAAATGAAAGAGCTTATTTATTTTAAGCATACATCAGATACACAATAAAGGAAAGATACTTCAAATCTGTACACATCTGTAAACAGAAAATTGGACTAAAAACAAATAATAGCAACTGGAATCTATAATTGCAATGCTATTACTCATTAACTATAAATAGTGTTTATAATATCTCTTTTCTCAGAAACAAGAAGTATGCACCTTGTGCTCATATTGTGTTTCTAAACTTAGAGAATTATGTTGTGCTGTCTCAGAACAATATGCTGTCTGCCCTGCTTGCCCAGATACCTTTATCAGGAGATGGAGATGACCAAGGCCCCCTTCATGATCCCTGTACACTATTGGTTATTAATGGTGGCCCTGTTTACACTTATATACTTAACAGGATCAGTGGAATTAGCAAGTCATACAACATCTAAATCCAGTCAGCAGCAGGGTTATTGTTTGGGGCTAAACTAGTGTTCTCCAGTCATCTGTGTTATCTGAACAGAGATAAGAGAGTTAACAAAGGTAAATCTTTTCCTACTGCCAGCACAGAAACAAAATCCTAGAATGAAGTGCGGCAACTTTAGGAATTCTGTTTCAGTGTAACTTTTATCCTCACTTCATGACCATATGAAGAATAAAGCCTAGAAGGAAAGGGGTGGGGTAATTAAACCTGTCCAGTGTTGTCCACAGTGGTAATGACCAGCTTTGTGGTTCTCTCTTGCACTTTAGTTTTATGTAGGCAATGTCTGTGCTCCTGTAGGTCCAACATACAGAACTACTGGCATACCTCCTAGTCACTGGTCAGTGCCCTCCACACACATTTTTGGGACATCTGTGTTTGTGGGGCAGGACTTATCCATGTAAATACTGAACCCTCCTGTGCTTTGTGAGGCACAGTAGGTTCTTAGACATTGTGTGATTTCCTAATATCTTTGACAAGTGGTGCTCTGAAGCACCACTTCACTGATTCCTGTCTGCATGTGCAAATGGTGTATCAAAAGTTAGGACAAACAACAGCTGGCCACTGGACCTTTTCACCTTTTTCTCCATCAGTCGACTGGTGATATGTTGGACTTTTTTTGCTTTAAGGTTCACTGCAGGAGTGGTGAAATGATAGCCATTTCTTTCTTTTTAAAAAACTCAATTGTAATTGACAAGAGTTCTGCCAGTTTCTCTTTCTAGCCCAAGTAACAGAAAGAAGGGTGTTCTCCCCATCATCCACCCAGTGCAGTAGACAGAAAAATTCAGTTACAAGGAGGAGTCAGTTGGGGAGGGGGGTCATACAAAAGATCTGTCAATGAAAATCACATGTCCTCAAAGGTCTGCCTCTAGAAAGGAAAGGAATTAATGCTTGTTTTTACCATAGTAACCAGAACACCTGGCCAACATCATTACCAAAGCTGAAGAATGGATTGAAAACTGGACAGCGATTTCTTCTACCCATTTCATTTCCAGCCAGTTTCAACATAGGACACAGCTGGAAAAAGTTTGTTCTTTAGAGATACACGTTTGAATCATTGTAGTGTATGAGAATCTTTACAGTAGTGGCTTACACAATCAAATCTAGAAAACTGGTCCTGTTCCTTGAGACCCACAAATCTCTTTTAAAAGAGTGCTGTGAACTCTGCATGGTATAATGCAGCCCACATATTTTATAAATAATTATTGGTAAAAGAAACAAGCAGTAATAGATTCCTTCCATTCTTGAGCTGCATACCAGATTATCTGGCATGGACTCTATTACTGTCTCTTTTTCATTCTGAAACTAATTTAAAGTAAGATGTAAAATAAGAAAGTGATTGATAATATGACTTCCCAACAACCAGAGTCACCTTTTTAGCCACTGGTAGAGAACGAATACTGCTTATTTTTTCTCATTAGGGCGTCGGCATGGTGTTGGACAATTGACTTTTGCTGATGGCAGCATTTACACAGGACATTTTGAAAATGGTCTCTTCAATGGATATGGAGTGCTCACTTTTGCAGATGGCTCCAGGTCAGTACAGGATTGTGGATTTAGTAGCACTGCACTATCTAGTACAAAGAGAGGGCACACATGCATGATCTGAGTCATTCTCAGAAAGTAAGAATAAATGTGTAGTACAGTACAATATGTCCATATATGCCCATGGTATGTAAAGAATTTTGTAGAATGACTATGTGTTGCTACCTTTTGCATGCATTAATTTTCTTTTAATATAGGTATGCAATAAAAAACATTTCATAATATTTGTTACCATATCATTTTCCACTGTAGGCCATTGGTAAGCTGTAGAATATCTGTTGAACAATGTTTTAAGATATTCCATTAATACTTCTATGGCCCTTTTCCTTCTGTTTAGTTCTGATGTTTTCAGAACTTTTATAGTGATTGCAGATGAGGTAGCAGTATCCAGTCAGACACACTCCTGTTACTGTTGCAGATATGAAGGAGAATTTGTACAGGGAAAGTTCAATGGTGTTGGAGTCTTCACACGCTATGACAACATGATCTTCGAGGGAGAATTCAAGGGTGGACGGGTTGATGGTTTTGGTGAGTGATAAGGATACATCTTGTGGGTGTAGCCAAGCAGCAAAGTTAATAATCTTGGATTAAATCTATTTTGGGAACTCTGCTGCAGCATGGAACAGGGCATAAGTGAGAACTTGGGTAAAAATACCATTCTCTGAAATACAGTGCAGACATATTATTTCATACCACTGCATGCACAAATCTATTTTCCTATTGAACAATAATGTTTTATTTTCTCCCATAGGACTTTTGACTTTTCCTGATGGCTCCCATGGGATACCCCGTAATGAAGGCTTCTTTGAAAACAACAAACTCTTGCGACGGGAAAAGTGCCAGACAGTAGTCCAACGCGCACAGAGTGCCTCTAAGATGGCACACAGCCTGACAGCATAAGGGGTATAAACTCTACAAGACCCTAACACATGGCTTACCTATGACTGGCAGCCTAACCCAGAGGTTGGTGAGAGTGTGGAGTACAAGATTCACAGAGGCAAATACCATCTCTAGGATGCAAACTATCACAACTCAACCCTGCTTGCCTTTATCATTTCCTTAAGCAGCTTGGCCCCTATAATGTGAACTGGTGCCAAAACTCAACTATGAAGCCTACGTCTCCTCTCAGTGTTATTTCTGAGATCATAGCATTTCCTTTGTCAGAAGCATTCTCTGTTGGACAGATTCCTAATTCTATAATCCCACAACTGAGTTGGGCACAATGGGAATCCCAATCAACAGGGGCTCGTTAATACTGTATACAATCCATCTTTCTTGCCACAAACCTAACACAGCTGGAACATTATGTGATCAGTTGAGTTGGTTTCCAGTGGTCAAAGGGGGATTTAGAACTTGCATTTAGTTTAGCTTTCTATCTTCTTATATGTCCCTAAACCTCTAGTTGATTCCTCACTGAGGCTGAGTCTTCCTTTCTTTATAAAAATTAAATGAATAAATACAAAAGCAAAGAATTAACATATTGAGTGGAACTAAGAATTCTAGACTTTCTGAATGTGACTTTTAACAATTTTGCAGATCAGCATAATAAGAATGTCTGAGTTCTGCTACACTTTATGCTTTAGGCTCCAGAATAGATCCAGGATCTCTTTCCACTCTTTATTCTAGCCTTGTGTTTTACACAATTTGCTAAGGCCGTTTTCACTGTGAGCTTCTTGTGTGACAGACAGCATTTCACAATTATCCCTTCCTTACATGAGATGCATGCCACTTATCTAGGGGCCGCAGAAGGAAGAGATTCACTAAGCTCCAGAGCTGTTACATGGTTTTCATCTACCATAGTGCCATATCCACACAGCTGTATCATTTTACAAATATTAAAAAGGGAATATAATTACTTTATATAAACCCTGCCTCTGTTAGTCATAGGACAAACGAAGTTTTGCAAATGCCTTCCTACTTCATTACTGGAAGTCCTTTGCACACACATACGCCTTGTCCCCGCCCACACTTCCCTCTTCTGGCTTCTGAAATTTTACCACACATTCCATAAATGTTTTAAGCCTGACTTTGCTGCCTTAATGGCTAGACATTTGCTTTAAAATAAAAATGTATCTCAGGATGCTGATCACTAGTCCAATATATTATATCACAGAACAATGGCATGCACACAGCCCTATATGTATCCAAAATAAGCAACAGCATCATTTATACAATGCTGTAGAGCTGAAGAGACAGCTGTTCCCAGATAATGTCATATATCTTTGTAGAAGATGCATTCAGTAACACTGAAACTTAGCACAACAGCTTACAATAACTTATAATGTGGAGATTACAGGGCATTCTTAATATATAGTACAAAGAGATGGGCAATGATACAGAAAGGATAACTGGTTCCTTGCTAGAGATGGAGGCTGAATGGAAATGCCAGGCTAGGGTAATAGAAGGGAAACTTAAGTTTTGTGGAGGTGATAGCAAATTAAATCCCTTAGTGGGGTGATTTAGTTAAGATTGGTCAATAAAGAACAACTCTATTTCTGTCAATCACTTTGTTTCTGTGCACTAAAATTAAACATGGGATTGTTTAAAACAGGGGGGTTTCTTAGTCAAGCATTGACCCACATTATGTGTGTCCCTAAGTGCCATGCTGGAGCCCTTGTAACCAGCCTATCTCCACACTGAATGTCTGTGTGTCAATGCTACCCTCGTGCCTTTGTGTCTCTGCCCATGTAAGGGCCTTGGCCAAATAAAGAGTTGCTGAATCTTGACTTTGGTGTATTATTTTTCTCTGTAATTGGGGCAAGTGGATTACCCTTATTCAATTATGCAGATCCAGAATGGGTGTGTGTATCCTGGCCTAATATACAATGGTGCTTAAAAGTTTATGAACCCTTTTGAATTTTCAACATTTCTGCATAAATATGACCTAAAATGTGA